TCGATAACTATAGAATAAAATCGATAACGATACATATATATTACACATATCTGTTGAGCTTTTCCATTTTGATGAATGCAAATCAATTTTGTTAGCTCTGTTTTAGGCAACTATGTAATTAGTTATCGATAACCGATAGTCACAAAGCTGTTCGCAAGCGATATTGAGTCTTTGCGATGCTTCCTCTCGTTCTTCAATTGAAGTATACATGTGCTTACATATAAATGTATATATATATATCACGAAATCTGCTCGACTTCAAAGCGTTTGCCACGCCCACATGTAGAGCACTTGAAATGCCATTAGTTTGCTTGGTTATTCTTTTGTTTTTTTTTGTATTTTTTTGCTCATGTTGTTGTTGCTGTGTCTTTCTTTCATTTAGTGTTCGTTTCTCTCCCTCTCTCTCTCTCTCTCTCCCTCTCGATTTTTGCTTGCTTCGGACGTACGTTCGCTCGAATCGTGTGAAATGTGGAGTGAAGCTGAGGCACGTAGCGCAAACATAATGCGCAAGGCACAGAGAGCATGATAATAATGTTAAATACTTAACAAAATTGTTTTAAATATCATATGCATGTGCATTATATGTTATTTTCGGATTGCACACGATCCGCAGAGGCAACGATTCGCTTCGATATACGATGCGAGCCAATGAATAATGTTTAATGTATGTTATATACTATATATTATATACTACATATATATAATATATCTACATACATATATATGTGTTATATATACTCGTCCCATGGACACTCCAGCTGGACACAACAAATCATTGTTAAGTCTCGTACTTGTTATCGAATTTGAATATGAATATGAATACGAATACTAATACCAATACCAATACCAATACCAATACCAATACCCGTATGAGGATGAGTGCGAGTGTGAGTGTTATACAATTTGCCCGTAATTTATTTTATGCACATTTCACATTGCGGTTGCTTCCATTCATTCCAAGGAAGACGCGATAAATTTCGTTTGGCAATTATCGAATGAAATTTTTTGCGGTTTTTATTTATTTATTTTTTTTATTTCGTTTTGTGATTCCACGTGACTCATTTCGCAATTCGCTGTTAGCATTGTTTATTGTTATAATTATATTTTTAGGAGCGTACCGGTTTTATTTTTGCATATACAACGTATATAAATATACTTAATCGATTGTCTCAAATATATTGGTATGGATTGATGGCTGTGCCAAACGAGCTCAACGTAAATTGAGAATATATCGTTGATTGATTAATTAATTGATCCATCAGATAAATCGCGGACAGGTATTTATACTCTATGCGTATGTATGTGCGATTGATGTATATATCGATAAGTTTGTGGAACTTGTTTTGGGTTCATTTAACGATAATTTAGCTGATTAGCATCGTCCTTCGGGTTATTTAAATCGATCAATTCGACTTTGATGTGTGCATATATATTTATATATCGATAACATCGGTTGCATGTCTCAATAAAGAAAATGGATAGTAGAATTTATGGACAGGTTTTAGTGATCGATTAACTGCTTTGCTGTGGTTGATGTTAAAGTTAATCAAAGCAAAAATATGTATTTAGACTGATCTTCGACTATCGATAGTTCGATATCGATTAATGTACGTTCAGATTTATACGTAAATTGACTTATTAAATGAAGTGCATCAAGCGCAAATCACTGTGAGGCCCATTTTTGGATTGCCAACTATCTAAACTATACCGTTATCATCCTATAATCGATTACCTGATTAGCTCAAATGCAAAGTGCAAAATGCAAATGCATGCGGCGCGCACTTGCTGGGATCTTAGCATTTCCAATCGAGCGCGCTAACAATTTCGCACACTTGAGAGCAATCGAGAAATGCCAGCGAATCAACAAGTTCGACAAGGCGACAAAAACAAAACGAAACGAAACGAAACGAAACAAAAAACCCGCCGCGGAATGTTAATAGCTAAGCAGACAAAAAAGATCTATGCACATATATATCTATGAATATAAATGAAAAGCAAAAAACTTCAAAATCAACTACGAGTAGCTGTACGCGCCCTGCTGAGTGCTGGGTGCTGGGTGCTGGGTGCTGGGTGCTGGGCCGTTTGCCAGCTGCTTCGGTTGCTTCTTCGATGCGTGCTTATCGATTGGCAATCACTTGAGTCGCGTCGCCGCCGATTGTCAACTGTTTGCGCATGTCACTGGCTGACGGCGAACGCGGCGTATGCGCAATGTGCAGCCAGCTGCCGTGACCTCAAAATCAAAGCTTTAACTTCACGAGCAACAACACAGCTGGCTGGGCAGTTGGCCAAAAAGAGCAGCAGTCCGAGGGGGGGGCACACCTGTATTGCATGCACCGCATTTGGTCAAAATTGCAAGAATCGAAATCGAATTCGAATTCGAAATCGAAACCGCAACTGCGAATGTCAAAAGTGATTTGCGTTTTAACAGCTTGCAAATGCACATCAAAGGCAAAGGCTTTCAAAGCTTTTCAAACAAATGGCCAGCAGAGAACAAAAGCTAAATCATATACACACACTCTCACACACACACACACACTTGAGTCGAATACAAACAGCAAAACATGCGAAAGTCATAAATCATAATTCTTTATTCTGACTGTTTGTTGTTGTTTTATTTTATTTTATTTTTATTTTTATTTTAATTTTTTTTTTTTTGTATTTGAAAAATTTTATTTTTGACTGACTTTCAATTTACACAAGTGTGCGTGCGTGTGTGTGTGTGTGTGTGTATGCGTGTGTGTGAGGCACATAAAAGTGGCACTAAAAGTTGTTGCATGGAAGGGGGGATGCCAGGCGAGCTCGGGTCGGGGTCGGGGTGCTTCGCCGGGGCATCCGCAGCAGCAAACATTCTTGCCAAAATGATAAATGGCCCAAAAGGCAATAATAGAAATGGCAAAAGCCATAACAGGCCACGGCTAAGGGGGCTGTGGCGAGAATGGGGAAGGGGTGTGTGCTCTCTCGTTGTTGGCAGCTGGGGGGTGGTTCGCTTTTAAGATTGACAGCGCGCCGCAATTTGCATTTCGTTTGAAATTAAGGGGGAGGCACACACACACACACACACACACAAACAGAGAGAGGCCTCTCGCATATAGAAAAAAAGCATCATTAGTCCAGTTTTGCTGCTTAACCTAATCTCCGGCTGGGGGCATTCCACACAATTTCGAGCACATAACTCAATTCCTTGAAAAACCTCAAAGCGCGCGGACCATTAAAACAAAGCACACACACACACACACACAGACGTACACACAGACAACGAAAAAGGGCAACAAATTGCCATAAAAAATAAAAACTTTACGAAATAAAACGAGGAAAAAAAAACTCACTCACTGCGCGCTGAGTGAACTGAAAATTAAGTAGTAAAACGCTGCAGCGTTTGCTCGCCCAGGTGGCAACGCTGTCAGCCATAAAGGCAATGTCGTTAAGTGCCTCGTTAAGTTGGCTGCGCTCGCATCTAATTCAATTTGTAATTGAAAATCGCGCATAAAAAACTTACTGAAGAATATTCATAGGAGGTGGCAACGCTGCGCTAGTAAGAATTTATGTTCTAGAAATATATAAATTATTATGCATATGTAGATATTTATAAGTGCAAGCTAGTTTGATTTGAAGCAAAATTTCATGTTAATGCCAAGTGGCAACGCTGCGCATTGAGATCTGCATTCGAATTGCCTTTGAGCTCTAGGAAAAACTGACTTTTAAAACTATTCTACAAGCTCCCATAAGGATAAGCTTCATAGTTGTTTAGGTAATTTATATGCCAGGTGGCAACGCTGTGCCTCAATACAAAACTGAAGATGATTTATCAGAAACGATTTTGGGCTCTGCATTCCAGAAACTGATTCAGCTCAGTCTCAATTGACCTATTGTATAACTGAAATATTTGCAATATTTTCTGTAGTTTCTCATGTTGTTGTTGTTTGTTCGTTTTTTTGCATTCCACCTTCAACTTTGATTGACCGATCAATTGGAGATCCTCGGCCTTTGGCTATCAGGCAACTGCATTCTGCACTCAATTAAACGATTAAGGCGCTTAATTGAGACATTAACATGGCTAACAAAGCTACGCACAGCAAATCGCCAATGTGCATAGCATTGAGCTGTTCAATCAAACAATCGAGTCGATCAGTCGATCAGTCGGACAGTCGGGCAGTCAGTCACTCAGTCAGTCAATCAATCGGTCAGTCGGTCAGTCGATTCTGTTCGCTGTCAGCTGCTCGACGCTTACATAAATCAATTAACTTACGCTTATTTTATAATTTAATTGTTTTTGTATACCCTGTAAAGAGGCATCGATGGGGCATGCCGAGTGCCGATGTTGATGAATCATAGCTGAGACAAGTTTTAGCTGCCGTGTGAGAACTTTATAATTCTGTTTGGGCACAGCTTGTAGGGTATCAAAAGTCGAGCAGGCTTAAGTTATTTTTCTTTTCGCTGCTCAATTATGATTTAATAATAGAAAATAAATACTTGGGATTGCCTTTAAACTTATTGTAGGGTATCTCTAAGTCATTTCTTGTTGCTGCTTAAACAGAGATTATGATTCTAGGGTATAAATAAGTCAAGTTACGTTATTTTTGTGATTTAATTGATTTTAAGCAATTAGCGTACTTGGTTACTCAGTTAAACTGAAGCTAGGGTATCTTAAGGTCGTTCATTTGTGTCTTGCTGAACCACTCAAAAGAGATTTAATAATATTTGCTTTGTAAACCATATAAATGATCATGTTTAGAGTAAATTTAAATTGATTGCAGGGTATGTTCAAGTCGTTCCATGCTAGAGTCTAGAGCACACTTGTTTCTTGACGAGCGCGCTTTGTGACTTGTTTTTTATGATATTTGAATTCTCACACGCTGCTCTGGCCCTATCACTCACTCACTAATATTCTCTCTCTCTCTCTCTCTGTTTTTCTCTTTCTCGATTGCTGCGCCGCCCGCTCACTCGCTCACGTTCTTGCTCGCTCTCGCTCTCTCTCGCTCTCTCTCTCTCTGACTGTGTAGAGCGAGCGTGCGCGATTCGTGTTGGTCGTCGGTTGCTGTCTCGGATGTCGCTGATATTGTGGATGTGGATGTGGAAGTCAACTTTTGCCGGTGGCCAAAACATTCAGCTGAATACAACGCTGTGAGCAACACACGCTGGAAGCGCCGATGGAACCGCGTCGCGACGCAGCGGCAACGGCAGCAGCGGTAGCGACAACAACTACAACAACAACAACAACAACAGCAACAACAGCAACAACAATATTTGCACAGCAACAATCAAACAAGTCAGCTAAAAAGCAAAAACATTTTATTAACAACAATTTGTGATAACCGAGAGAGACAACAGCAACAACTACAACAACAACAACAAAGAAACAAACAAACAAACAAGAAGCAGAAGCAGCAGACGCGAGTGTCCAAAATTTATGAATAAAATCAAAATAAAAACATTTATATACTTATACAAAAATATATATATATATATATAACTACATAAATATATCTATATTTATACAAACGCATATACAGCAGTAAAAAAAAAAAGATATTTATATAATTAACTACATAAAAATAAAACAATAAATATTTAATTAACAACAAAAAGCAGTCCAACAAATGCAACGCGTAGGCCTTCAACTGTGATTTACAAATAAAAAAAAATATAAAAAAACAAAACAAAACAACAACAAACCAACAAAAGCTTAAATAAATATCTAAAGTTCTACACACATTAAAAATAAATAAAATATAATAAAAAACAGTCAGCAGCAAATTAAAAAAAAAAAACGAGTTACGTGTGATTTTTAAAAAATATTTTCTCGATTCGTTTTTTATTTGCTTTTTTTTTTTTAAATAATAAATCTTATTATTATTATTATTGTGTGTTGATTCACATCCAATTGTCATCAAGTGCACCTCCAATCGGAATCCAACAAGACCATGTTCAACTCCAATATACCGGCCGCGGCGCTGCTGAGCATCGAGGGCAGCGGCCCGGGCGCCCACACGCCCAAAACGCCAGAGATTCTCAATTCGGTGATCGCGATGACAAATCCCCTGGACAACTTCAACTTCAACGTGTCGAACAACTGCGGCCAGGTGTCCGGCCCCTTTGTCTCCATACGCAACTTGTGCGGCAATGCCAACGGACAGGTGCGTCTCGCTTCCCCACCCCGCCCAACCATAGAAACTCCAGCTAATTCCTCATTCCTCTTGCAGTCGCACTCGCAGGATAGCAGTCATTCCAGTTGCTCGGCCTCGCCGCTCGACTCGCCAGCGGGCGCTGCGACCACGCCCAGTGTGCAACAGGTAAGTGGGCGGCCCGAATACCTATTACAGCTAGTCTAGGGCGTGGGAAATTCTTTGATTGGATTTGTTTCGCTTTGTTTTTGGCTTTAAATTTAATAATAATTGAATTTTCTAAGATTATAACCTTTTTATTTGTGGCATTTCAATTCTCATTTAATCAAGATTTTGCACTCAATAGTCCCCGTCTATCCCTTCAATAATTTCACTGAGCTGTTGCTCTTCATTTTCAATCAAACTTAGCTTCAATCTGGCTCTTTAATAGAGTTTCTAGCTGCAATTCTTCTCTGTTAATAGGTTCTATCCATGCCTTAATCAGAATAGCTGCCTCTTCAATCTGATTTCAATTTGACTTTTGACTTTCAATTTGACTTTCAATCTTGATAAACTGAATACTTCATCCATTTTCACTTGAATTTTCAATTTTCATTTAGAATTTTCTTCATTCAATAACTTTGCATTTTCAATCAATCAATTCTATTTTCTATCAATTCACTTGAGTCCAAATGATTGATCGTGTCTCGAGACTTGTTCCATTAGTTTTCCGTTTCATACGATATGAAATATTCAACGTGCTTTCGATGCATTGAGTTCTCTTTCAATTTCCATTTCAATTTCCCAATGCACTTTCAATTTCAATCGACAGACGTGTAGGCACGCTTTGGCCCATTTCCAGCTTCACTGTTCACTTGCAATTTGTCAACAATTGATGCAATTCAATTCGATTTCGCTTTCAATCTGGCGACAATCAACCAGATTGTTCAACATTTGCGTGTTGCCCATTCATACGGCGTCCGAATTGCATTTTATTTGGCGCCCACGCGCCGCACGACACAAAAATCTGCCAAGTGCCCACGCACCGGTCCGCCGAACGCCGTCAGTTGCTGCACCGGCTCCGGACATTGGCCGGCATCCGCCCACAAGTACGCCATCGCCATCGCCACCGCCACCGCCACCGCCACCGCCTTCGCCCCCGCAGCCACTCAATCCGGCTTAAAGGCAGGCCAGTCGATCGGGGCGAAGCGAAGCGTCGGGTCGCTTAGTCATTTGGTCGAGCTGACGCTTGGGTCAGGCTGGCTTACGCCGGCAGCTCGTGGGCGTTTGCTGTTGACGCTTCCAATTGCAAAACGCAGCCAGAATTGATTTCACTTTTGTATGCCAGAAATTGAATAAACTATCTATAGCTGCATAGCTGTATAGCTGTATAGCTGCATAGCTGTATAGCTGTATAGCTGCATAGCTGTATCTGTATCTGTATCTGTATCTCTGGCAATGTATCTGTATCTATTGCGGCGACTGTATCGATGCTGTGTGTGGATGCACAGCATCACTTGACTGACATTGGCCTTAATGAGCCACATTGCTCGCGGGCAGGTGGAGGGGGCGTGGCCGAGCGGGCTGAGCGGGCTGAGTTGGCAAGTGCGATTATTGCATATGAATAACATTTGCCACGCGGCAATTAAATGGCATTCGAGCACACACAGCGACAGCTCCCGGGCGCATCCAGTAGATATGCAAATACAATGGTATATCTCTAATTGCCTAGGTGTGCGTGTGTATGTGTGTGTATGCCCCTCTCCCTCTCCCTCTCCCGCTCGCACTCGCACTCTCTCTGTGTTTGTGTGTGATTTATGATTATTGCTTCAAACGAATTTATAGGCATTGAACTGCCGCCAGCCCCAAGTGCAAAATATTACAAATAAAATTTTAAACACTTTTCAATTTGTTTTCTAACAAATTTCACATAAATTACAAAATGCACAACCAACACACTCACACACACACACACACACACAAGCTGGAAAAGTTTTTGCTGTTGCCAATCGCAACAATTTTTATTGCACTTTTAGCTGCTGCTGCTTCTTCTTCTTCGTTTTCGCAAATATTTGCACAAATGTTAAAATTGTTGTTGTTGTTTTTTTTTTTTTTTTGCACATTTCTCATAAACGCAAAATGCAAAAATAAAAAAAATAAAAAATAAATAAAACATATATGTATGGGAGAAAAAAGTTATAAAAGTGGCAAATATTGAAATGTCGAAAAATTGTACATAAGAAATATAGAGAGAATATAAAGTCCATAGCACATGCGAGAGGCAGCTGCTAATTGAGTGAAGTCGCACCCTGGATACTCTAGCAGGAAGGGAATCTGGCCAAGTTCATTTGCGGAACTTGTGGATATTTGCCTAGCTATAGTTTTCTGTTTTAAGATATTCAGATTTTCTATATATTCAAAGTAGTTCCATTCCAGCATTAGTTCCGATTCTTTCCGTGAGTTGCTTTAGATCAAGTCTCTGCCTTATTTCAGTTTCTGACTCTCACTTCAATTTCAATTGCAATTCCAGTTCCGGTTCCAGTTCCGGTTCCAGTTCCAGTTCCAGTTCCGCTTCCATTTCTGCTTCATTTAGTTTTTCTATACTCGATTCAAGTGTTGACTCTCGTATAATTTTCCACTCTGTTTCAAGTTCCAGTTGCAGCTCCAATTTTAGTTCCAACTCTAGTTCCGATTCAAGTCTCAATTTCAATCCCATTTTTTAAGAGGAAAAAGTATGTGGCAAACAAACAAAATGCGGAGCCAAATAAAAGTGCAAATTTGCGAGGCGATTCGTGCGAAATTTGAGTTTGTTGTTTCTTTTCTTTGCGTGTGTTGTTTTTTTTTTTTTTTCATTTTTCTTGAAGTCTTTCACATATTTTGGGCGCTGCTCGACAAACATCACGCAGCACGCATACAGATACAGCTACAGATACAGACACAGATACATTTGTAGATACAGATACATTTGCCAAAAGATACATTTGGTACGTTGTCAACGCAGCGCGAAGTGCAGCAAAACGTAGCGCAAAGAAAGGCTTGGGCAAATGCCTATAAAAGGTGAATATATGATATGCTATATGTATATCTCTATCTCCTTCGCCCCCACTTCTTATGTTTGTCGCACTCGTTAAACTCCAAACACGATTCGGTCTTGCAAATAATATCTTAATGCCATCGCAACAGCCATTAGCCCACTAAGCGTTACAGTTCGAACCCTGAATTTTAATTTATGCACCTTGCCTTGAACCATAAATGAAGCAACTGGAAACACAAATAATATGTAAGCCATAAGTGGAGCTCGACTCGAGGTGATTCATGGAGCTAGAACTGTGAATAGTGCCACTACAACTCTGGAATTGTCTTGGGTGCTTGGCAGGCTTTAGATTGAAAGAGATTTTATCTGTCTCAATTTGTTTCCCTCTTTTCCCTTCTATCTATTTATCTGTCTCTCTCTTCCTTCTTCTTCTTCTTTTTCTTTTCCTTCTTCTACTCCCTTTCGTTGCCCATACTTGTGCATATTTTGTTTTCATTTTTCATCTTCATTGCTTCCTTTTAATACTCTTCTATCCTTCCCTTCCTTTTCCTAGTCCTCTATTCAGTTCCCGGCATTCTTTTCCCCACTTTTTATTTCCTTTGCTTGTCATCCTTCTTTATATTGTGTTATACTACTATACTTTCTTGCATGTTCCATTTCTTGCTATTTCTTCCCTATCTTCTATTCTTTTCTTTTGAAGAATCTTCTTCTATTCATTTCCTCTGCTTTTCTCTTTCATTACCATTCTTTCTCTATTTCTTTCGCTCCTCTTCCAGTATTTTCTCATTTCTCTTTCATCTCTACTTTCTCTCTTCTTTTTCATTCCTACGCTTCCCTTTCTACCATGCTTTTCTCCTCCTAGCCTTTTCCCTTTCTTTCGCTTTCAAATTCTCATTCACTTTTATTTCTTTGCCTTTCTACCAATCCTTTCTCCAATCCTTTGATTCCATTCTTTCGCACTCTGCTCCTCCCTTACCTTTCTTCACTCCCATTTTCTTCTCTTCCTTTTCTATCAGTTGTATAGCTCCTCTACACTATTCGAGTAAAAGTTTCCTTGTCTCGTTCTCATCCCAACTACTAAATATATATCTCTGCTTCTCTACCAAGTCTGTTTCTTAACACACTCTCAAGTGTTTCTAGACAGTTGTACAGCACTGTGCCCATTAAGATCAGGTTTATCTTTAAACTTCTGTTTGCTTCATTCAAGTTGCA